ACAAACCCTGACTTAGATAAGGAAGGGCTTTTTTCAGAAAGACTGTTGCAACAGGGTCACACTTGGAGTTCAGGAACTGCAAACATATCAAAATCCAACAGAAAGGGGTTTTATGTGATGGGGGCGGGGGAGTAAGTAACGCTCAGCAGAAAGTAAAGGGGAGGCGGACAAGCCAGGGGAGTGACCAGCAGAGTCTGTCAGGGAGCCGGTCCCCTGGGGCCAGCCAGCCTCCCGGCATGTCTGCTTGGGAGCAAGCGGAGTTCACGGGCCTGCAGGGAGGAGAGAAAACCTCCAGACTAAACCGGGTGAGAAATGGAAGGGACATGCGTATACTCCAGGCCTGTCCTTCATTCATGAAGACGGTCTCTTAGCACACTGAAATCTTAACATGACCACGTAAGCAAAATTCACTTGCCCTGGAGTGTTTTTAGGTACTTAGATCCTGTCACTGGGGCACCTCCCTGGCCCCTCCAGCCCCTGCAGCACATCTGCCTCTCCTGTGGCCTCCCTGTCCCGGCCACCCACTGAGCCTCCTCCTCCATGAGTGGCCTTGACTTCTCATTCCCTCCAGGCCTCTGCACTTGCCCTTCTGTCTCCCGGAATCACTGTCCCCACCCGCCTCTCACCCTTAGCTGGCCTGACTCCTCTCTTCCACTAAGCAGTCGCGTCCCCAGCTAGGGTGCTGCTGGGCTTCATGGCGCCCGGGCCCTGCTAGCTTTTCTAGGACACGGGCGGCCCAGGCTCCGCTGCGTCGCTCTAGAGCGAGTCTGGGAGTGCAGGGCCACGTCTGTCCTCCTCCTATCATCTGTGTGCTCGGTACACGTGGACTCTCAGGCCATATATGCTGAAGGAAGGAAAGGAAGGAAGGAGGGAGAGAAGAAAGAGGATAAATATGAGCGAAGTGTAAATTCCTGACACCTGGTCANAGTTAGGTGTGTGTGTGAAGGACTCACCCAGTCCTGGTAGCAAGCGTATGAGGGTGGGTGGGTATGGCTGCCTGAGCTGCAGGACGCAGTCATTTCTGGAGCCTGACAAGCGGTCCCACCTCAGGCTGCAGACTGGGGTCAGGCGTGCTCTGTGGGTCCCTCATGCACTTTGAAAACACTCGAATCACATTTTTTCTTTTCATGGGTGTTAATTTCCCAAGGCGTTTTTATTTGTTCGGCATTTAGTGAGTGCCTACAGCTCATCAGCGTTGTGAACACTGTAATGGCAAGATATGGTAGCTGCCCTCTGAGAGCACACGGACACAAGTCACTGCAGCTGGATAAAATATAAGTCTTCAGCACAGGTGGGACTTGGAGGAGAAGCAAGCAGCTCCGGAGAGGGAAAATCAGATGGGGCCCCAAGGATACAACAGGAGTTGGGTTTTGACGGGTGACTAGGAGTTCGATAGGCCATGCAGTGAGGCAGGAATTTGCTGACCCGTGGAGCAGAGCGTGCCAGGGCACAGAGCTATGATAACCAGTCTCCATGCATACTTAATAGGAGTAATTTTCCGTTTATCTTACCTTTATCTCTTTCCGTAATTCATCTGTAATTTTCTGTAACCGTCTAGCTTAGGTTTCTTCCGGTTTATTTTTTCCTTTGTCTTCATTGCTTTCAAACTAGGAATTTGAGGTAATTCCCCCTGGTGTTTTCCATGGCTTTAATCAACAAAAATTGTGTTGGCTTTATTACATAAAGAAAACTAGAACAGGGGGAGAGGGCTTTGCACAGAGGCATTTGCTGGTTTTTGTATAGCTCAGGGACGCCCACCAGGGCCGAATGGCGTTTTAATTGTGAGATCTGTCTGTTCCTCTGTCTAGATTAAGTTTGACAGTGTGGAGGTGTGTGTCTGCTGTGAAATGCAGCACCGTTCGTCTGGCTGCGGCAACCTGGGCGAGACGCTGAAGCTGAACCCGCTGCAGGAGGACTGCGACGCCGTGAGGCTGACATTGAAGGTGACGGCCAAGGGCATGCTCTTGCCTGCGTTTCACCCCATGCGTTGCAGACACATTAGGAAGATTTTACTCACACACGTGCCCCGTTCAGTTCTTAATTCACTGGGGGAGGTTCCGTGCACGAAGGGATCTCTCTGGAGGATTACAGATTTTTCACTGAAAGTGCTGCTTTTTTTGGATCTCGTTTTCCATTTGTACCATTTCACTTTCCTGCCTCTGACTCACGTGAGGTAGGATATGACTGGTCAGAAGAGGTCTTTACAGATGTGGATGTGATCGGTTCCACTGCTTTGCTTCCATTTTTGGTTCTTTCACCATCAGGGAACAGATGGCTGTTTGTTTTGCCTTTTTGAAGAAAATCTGGAAAATGAAATTGTCCAATTTCCCCTGTACACGACTAGCCTCGTGGACAGCCTCTGATTTTTTTTTAAATGGTGTGGAAAACAGTTTATGTTATCCCTTTCTTTTTCTTCCTACAAGCGTTTTTTTTTTCCCTGAAAATCAAAATTGACTGCCTAAAAATGCCTATGAACAGTGACCCCAGTTC